GAATCTGGGAAGGCTCACGCCATGAAGTACTTCCCAGAACTTCTTCTGCCAGTATCCTGTCCTCATGGTAAGGCACAGCCACTCCCTGCCTCTGCAGGAGACCCTCCAACACTAGCAGGTAGGTCTGGTTCAGTATCCTATGGCATCACTGCTCCTTCCCCTTGATCCCAATGCTCACACTACTTGTGTGTGCCCTCCAAGAGTGGAATCTCTGTTTCCCCCAGTCCTGTTAAGTCCTGCAATCAATTCCCACTAGCCTTCAAAGTCTGATTCTCTAGGAATTCCTCCTCCCGTTGCTGGACCTCCAGGTTCAGAAGCCTGGCATGGGGCTCAGAACCTTCACTCCAGTGGGTAGACTTCTGTGGTATAAGTGTTCTCCAGTTTCTGAGTCACCCACCCAGCAGTTATGGAATTTGATTTTATTGTGATTACGCCCCTCCTACCATCTCATTGTGGCTTCTCCTTTGTCTCTGGATGTGGGGTATCCTTTTTGGTGAGTTCCAGTGTCTTCCTGTCAATGATTGCTCAGCAGTTAGTTATGATTCTGGTGTTCTTGAAAGAGGGAGTGAGGGCACGTCCTTCTACTCTGCCATCTTGACCCAATCTCTCTTCCTTTTCATTTTTAATTCTGTTGATTTATTTTCCCATTTTTCTTGATGAGTCTGGCTAATGGTTTATCAATTTTGTTTATCTTCTCAAAGAACCAGCTTTTAGTTTTATTGATCTTTGCTATTGTTTCCTTCATTTTTTTTCATTTATTTCTAATGTGATCTTTATGATTTATTTCCTTCCGCTAACTTTGAGGTTTTTTGTTATTCTTTCTCTAATTGCTTTAGGTGTAAGTTTAGGTTGTTTATGTGAGATTTTTCTTGTGTCTTGAGGTAGGCTTGTATAGCTATAAACTTCCCGCTTAGAACTGCTTTTGCTGCATCCCATAGGTTTTGGGTCATCTTGTTTTCATTGTCATTTGTTTCTAGATATTTTTTGATTTCCTCTTTGATTTCTTCAGTGATCTCTTGGTTTTTCAGTAGTGTATTGTTTAGCCTCCATGTATTTGTATTTTTTCCAGATTTTTCCCTGTAATTGATATCTAGTCTCATAGTGTTGTGATTGGAAAAGATACTTGATACGATTTCAATTTTCTTAAATTTACCAGGGCTTGATTTGTGACCCAAGATATGATCTATCCCAGAGAATGTTCCATGAGCACTTGAGAAGAAAGTGTATTCTGTTGTTTTTGCATGGAATGTCCTATAAATATCAATTAAGTCCATCTTGATTAATGTATCATTTAAAGCTTGTGTTTCCTTATCTATTTTCATTTTGGATGATCTGTCCATTGGTGAAAGTGGGGTGTTAAAGTTCCCTCCTATGACTGTGTTACTGTCGATTTCCCCTTTTATGGCTGTTAGCATTTGCCTTATGTATTGAGGTGCTCCTATGTTGGGTACATAAATATTTACAATTGTTATATGTTCTTCTTGGATTGATCCCTTGATCATTATGTAGTGTGCTTCTTTGTCTCTTGTAATAGTCTTTATTTTAAAGTCTATTTTGTCTGATATGAGAATTGCTACTCCAGCTTTCTTTTGATTTCCATTTGCTTGGAATATCTTTTTCCATCCCCTCATTTTCAGTCTGTATGTGTCCCTAGGTCTGAAGTGGGTCTCTTGTAGACAGCATATATACAGGTCTTGTTTTTGTATCCATTCAGCCAGCCAGTCAATGTCTTTTGGTTGGAACATTTCATCCATTTACATTTAAGGTAATTATCGATATGTATATTCCTATTACCATTTTCTTAATTGTTTTGGGTTTGTTTTTGTAGGTCTTTTCCTTCTCTTGTATTTCCTGCCTAGAGAAGTTCCTTTAGCGTTTGTTGTAAACCTGGTTTGGTGGTGCTGAATTCTCTTAGCTTTTCTTGTCTGTAAAGGTTTTAATTTCACTGTTGAATGTGAATGAGATCCTTGCTGGGTAGAGTAATTTTGGTTGTAGTTTTTTCCCTTTCATCACTTTAAATATGTCCTGCCAGTCCTTTCTGGCTTTCAGAGTTTCTGCTGAAAGATCAGCTGTTAACTTTATGGGGATTGCCTTGTATGTTATTTGTTGGTTTTCCCTTGCTGCTTTTAATATTTTTTCTTTGTATTTAATTTTTGATAGTTTGATTAATATGTGTCTTGGCATGTTTCTCCTTGGATTTATCCTGTATGGGACTCTCTGTACTTCATGGGCTTGATTGACTCTTTCCTTTCCTATATTAGGGAAGTTTTCAACTATAATCTCTTCAAATATTTTCTCAGTTCCTTTCTTTTTCTCTTCTTCTTCTGGGACCCCTATAATTCAAATGTTGGTGCTATTAATGTTATCCCAGAGGTCTCTGAGACTGTCCTCAATTCTTTTCATTCTTTTTCTTTATTCTGCTCTGTGGTAGTTATTTGCACTATTTTAGCATCCAGGTCACTTATCCGTTCTTCTGCCTCAGTTATTCTGCTATTGGTTCCTTCTAGAGAATTTTAAATTTCATTTATTGTGTTGTTCATCATTGTTTGTTTGCTCTTTACTTCTTCTAGCTCCTTGTTAAATGTTTCTTGTACTTTCTCCATTCTATTTCCAAGATTTTGGATCATCGTTTCTATCATTACTCTGAATTCTTTTTCAGGTAGACTGCCTATTTCTTTTGCATTTGTTTGGTCTGGTAGGCTTTTACATTTCTCCTTCATCTGCTGCATAGTTCTCTGTCTTCTCATTTTGCTTAACTTAACTGTGTTTGGGGTCTTCTTGTCTCAGGCTGCTGGTTTGTAGTTACCATTGTTTTTGGCGTTTGCCCCCAGTGGATAAAGTTGGTTCAGTGGGTTGTGTAGGCTTCCTGGTGGAGGGGCCTGTTGCCTGTGTTCTGGTGGATGAGGCTGGGTCTTGTCTTTCTGGTGGGCAGGACCGCATCCAGTTGTGTATTTTGGGGTGTCTGTGAACTTATTATGATTTTAGGCAGTCTCTCCGCTAATGGGTGGGGTTGTGTTCCTGCTTTGCTAGTTGTTTGGCATAGGGTGTCCAGCACTGTAGCTTGCTGGTCATTGAGTGGAGCTGGGTCTTAACATTGAGATGGAGATCTCTGGGAGAGCTCTAGCTGATTGATATTACACGGGGCTGGGAGGTCTCTGGTGGTCCAATATCCTGAACTCGGCTCTCCCACCTCAGAGACTCAGGCCTGACACTCAACCAGCCAAAGCAGTACGACCCTGTCAGCCACATGGCTATTTATTTTGTTAAAGTCAGCAAAACGGGACAGCTCCAGGCCTCCCTCACTGGAGCTCAGGCAAAGTTGTAGAAAGTACAGTTCCTGAGGACAGGCAGCTTAGCTGCATTCCATTCAATCATTTTTTATCAAAGATTATGTTTATCTTGGGACTTCCCTGGTGGCACAGTGGTTAAGAATCTGCCTGCCAATGCAGGGGACACGGGTTCAAGCCCTGGTTCAGAAAGATCCCACGTGCCATGGAGCAACTAAGCCCGTGTTCATGAGCCCACGAACAACAACTACTGAGCCCACATTCTGCAACTACTGAAGCCTGCATGCACCTAGAGCCCATGCTCTGCAACAAGAGAAGCCACTGCAATGAGAAGCCCGAGCACCACAACAAAGAGTAGCCCCCGCTCGCCGCAACTAGAGAAAGTCCACATGCAGCAACAAGACCCAACACAGCCAAAATTATTAAATTTAAAAAATTAATTAATTAATTTAAAATGTATTTTTAAAAGTACAATGTTAAATGTTAATCTCATCCTAAAAACACCACAGAAACATCCAAAATAATGTTCCACCAAATATATTGGAACTGTGGCCCAGCCACGTAAAATAAAATAAAATAAAATAAAATAAATTATGTTTATCTAAACGGTTTCACTTATTCGTGTTGGTATGAAATGTTAAAACTTCTGAAATATCATAGTCTCACATAGATGAAATATCAGTACTGACTCACGTGTCTTCATTTTTTCTACCTGAACCCAATTTAAGGGCAATTTTCTAAGAACATTTTAAGAAGAATACCTGGCATCTGGTTGCTCTTCCTGTCCATTTCTATATGACCTTTCTCTTCAAAGTTTTGACCTGCATCTTAATTTCCATCTCAAAAACAGCAGTTGCTTCGGTACCTGATGGATCCCTCATATTCTTCTTTCCACTTTAAAAATCTACATCAGTTTCAGAAAAAAAATGAGTGCAGGCCGTTCAATTTTATATAGAGCAGCAAATCTGTGCCTAGGAAGTTCAAATAGAGGCTAGCCTCTATAGAAACAACTTTTAAATAAACTTAGAAACTGAACTATTTAGACTTTCCATTCTTGGCATATAATACTTTTATTTTAGCAAAGAAAGGACAATGAAAACTTTTCAAGGAGGTCAGAAGTTGTGTTCCATACTCTAATTTGATTTGCCCCGACTGGAGGGCATTTTCAACACAGTGTAAACAGTTTTCAGCAAACACATTCTTAAAGATCTTTTCAACTCTCTGGTTTCAATGGACGGTGAGTGGACACATATGTTAATGAAGTATGTTTATTACCAAAGCTGATGCTGAAATCAAACTACCGGCTAGCCTGCCATGTCCATTTCTACCTATGTTGTTGGTACAACCAACTGACTCCTCTTATAGATTTTTCTATGTTCTTTTTCATTCACCCTTTCTTCTTCTCTCCCAAGGAGATAATTGACACTGCCTTTGCATTTCTTGCTTAGCCCGGCTCTGCCTCCTGGGATGTACCTCCTGCTCCAAATCATGGCTGATGTTGTAGAAATTTCCCCTTCCAGGACCCACCCCCTCAGTTCCTATTTTCCAAATTTCACATTTAGCCACAGTATTCTTTGCCTCTGGTCTCCATCAAATGCTACTTAAATAATGTTGCTAGGAAAATTGAAACAGTAGTATAATTTATTTTGTTTCTCCACTTATTCTAAAATGTTCTGCTTCTCAAAACAAAACTTTTCATTTTATCTATTTCAGAGGAAGAGGAGGCACCCTCATCCCCCCCAGTAGTTTGGTCTCCACCAGAAACACCGAGGTCAGTTCAGTATGAGTTGTGAGTAGATCACATTGAGCTACATTTTGCGGGCATACTCGGGAAAATCCTGTTGATGTAAAACAGAAAATTAAACTAGTTTCATTGCAAGTGTGCATATAGTGTCCTTAAAACATGGAAAAGCTCTTATTGTCCTTTCTTATATTTTATGGCCAATACGTCTGACCAAAAATCCATCTCCAGCCAGTATTTTTCTATAAGATGGAAATGGAGTGAATGCCCCAGCAGGACGCTGGTGAGAGGAGTGTTCTGCAAGTGATAGACGCACACCTGAACTTCAGATTCATTGTTCAAGCAGGAAATCACCCAATTTCCCTGCATTCTATATTTTTTCTCTTTAAATTATATATTTAAAGTGTGCTTTTATAAACAGGTATTACATGATCTCACTTTCACAGATGACAAAGGCTTGGGGGAAGTTAATGCTTTGCTATTATTAACTTATCAAGCAACCGCAGTCCCCAGGCATTCTTTCAGGCAATAAACCGTATTCGTTTTGTTGTTGGCTCACCCTTTATTTTTATGGCCCATTAACCAGTACTGAATTAAAATCAAATTTGTATAAATGATCTAATAGTTTTGCAAACTAGTTAGTCATCTGAATACCCAACACATGGCAATGCCAGAATAAGGTTATGAATCAAATACAAGCATAGATTTTAAATCATCGATGATTAAAATATTCTTTTTTAAAAACTGATAGCCAAAAAGGGTAGAGAAAATGTTTAAAAAAAAAAAAAAGATAAATTTGGCACAAACTTTAGCATACATTCCATTTGCATACAGAGTGGGATTTGTGGCTGAATGAAACCCATGCTCTGCGTTGGCGAAAGTGCAGGTTACAACTTCCTGTTCTTTCCTGTCACTTCATATCGGCTTTTGGAGAAGTGGAAGGTTTCTGGTCTAATTTTTCCACTTCTCAATATTAATACTATCAAAGTGTACTAAAGCTTTACTTTGTGAATCCTTTTACCATCCTGGAAAAAGTAAAGATGAAACAGAATATTTAAATGGGAAATTTTTTGTGATCCTAATGAGAGGTTTGGAGTTCTCTGAACCACTAATTATAATGATACGATTCTAATTTTTCTTCCTCAAATAATAAGCACCTCTTATTTTGAGGAGAAGAATTTAACTAATTAAATTCCTCCTAAATAAAGGAGGTGAGTCTTTTGGCTCCTATGAGACTTTCCACAGAGATCCCCTCTGGCCTGGCCCAACTGTGGCCTTGTGACCATTCGATGAGGTGGGAAATGTCACTTGAGATGCATGTAGTCACGTGACAGCGTCATCACTAAGCAGAGGACTTTCTCAGGGGGGTTGCTACAGTGCTGTCATGGATTCTGCTTCCAAATGTTGCTCTCATGGTGCTCAAAACATGTCATTTCACTGTGTGCTTCTGCAAGAAATTTTGCCAAGCAGACATCTGTTTGGATTGAGATGCTATACCTTGAAAAGGGAGGAGTTTGTGTGGTAGAAAGACAGGGCCTTTGAGTCAGAAGAACTTGGCTTTAGTCTTGACCACTAATCACCATTTAAGGTACAGGCTCAATGAACTCTTCACTAAAATGAAGATGAAGCTACCTACCACTGGGTTTACTGTAGGGTGGGGATTAAATGAGATAATATATGGAATATAGTTTGATGCCTGGACATCACAGAAGCTCAAGGATAGAGGTTACCATTAAAAAAATAAAAACAATCTTTTGCCCCGAGAAGAGCAAAAGATTAAACTAATCCAACTGAAGATTCAAATACCTAAGGCTCAACTCAGGCACACTACTGTAAAAAATATTAGTCAGATCCGTTCCCCTATGTGTAGACACTCCATGACTGTGGTAGATAGAAATGCAGACTGATTTAGATGTTTCCTGGTGGTGATGTAAATGCCACGGACAGCATCATGGGATTTTCTAAAATGATGAATAATTCCTGGGAAAGTTCGGGGGAAAGAAACCCTCCCTCAGTTGACGTATAGTAGCATTCCTGGAAAAGACTGTTTATATTAAAATTGTACAAAAAGTGGTTTGCATTCATATTTAAACAGTTTGTTTTTAGGAACAAACATCATTGACAAGTTTCTCTTCTTCACATGAAAGTCCTCTGGGACACAGGAAGGCATGAGGGAGCAGGGACCATTCTTCATTCTTCCTGGTGGAGAACCAGCCACCCTTTGCAGGAGGGAGCCTTCCAGGTTCCTATTTGCTAACTTGTAGTAGAGGAGCTAGTCTCTTAGCAACCAAGAAACCAGGTCCACCGGTTTTCAAAATCTCCCCTTGGGTCGACTCTTTTCTCTAGAAGAGGACATTCCTTTACAACAACAAGCTCTGTGGGGAAGAGCAGGCCTGGTGAAACTATCAAGGAGAGGCCAACAGGCGGTCCCAGACATGGGGGAGGGAAAAGCCTTGAGGGAAAGTGCTGACAAGAAAGAAGGCATTGTCAAAGGAAGCTATCTGAGCGCTCGAGAACTGGCCCAGGAGCGGGAGCTGTCCCAGAAGGAGGAACTATAACTGGGAATAGTTGACTCAGCATGCAAAAGCCAATGAGCAGGGTTTCCCCGGTGGCGCAGTGGCTGGGAGTCCGCCTGCCGATGCAGGGGACACGGGTTCGTGCCCCGGTCCGGGAGGATCCCACATGCCGCGGAGCGGCTGGGCCCGTGAGCCATGGCCGCTGAGCCTGCGCGCCCGGAGCCTGTGCTCCGCAACGGGAGAGACCACAACAGTGAGAGGCCCACGCATAAATAAAAAAAATTTTAAAAAGCCAATGACCAAGGCATCAAGAGGGGCCGAGTCTCAGAAACCAACACTGAGTTGAATCTGAACAAAGAGGCAGGTGGCCCCAACGAGGGAAGCACAGACCATTAGACTATAACATCACTCTAGTCACCTCTTGAGAAGACTACCGCCCGTGCTTCCCCTCTTCTGAAAGGTAAGGACGAAGCTCCCCAGGAATCCTCTACGTGAGCCCTCTGTCCTGGCCCAGGCCTGTTCTCCACTGGCAACAAGAAATATCTCATCACCAACCATGAGAATCATTCTCTATCCACACAACGTGGACACGGAAGTGGATAACCTTCCAAATTAACCTACCTCCCAATGAGGCTACTTTGAAGACCCAGAAAAACAGCAAGATCGTTTTTGCCTTTCTTACCTGAATGTCTTCGATTTTGCCTCTTTTAGTATTATTCTATTAAGCCAAACTATTAATGGCTAAATTGGGAACCTGATAGGTTACATTTGTTAGTATAATGTTTTATAAGTAGTATAGTTGTGGTAGTTTTTATTGCTAAAAAAATAAACCAGACCACAGAATATTGGTTTCTGCTGTTGAACATGCCTCCATAACATCAGCTATACTGAGTTTTATGTGAGACATTTCATAAGTGAAACATTTAAAACTCAGGTTTATTTCTATATAACTAGGGCTCAATATCTTCTTCTTATAAAATAATATTATTTACCATTATAGTTAATAGAAAAGCCAAAAAATTTATCCAGGTTATGTGTTCTGTTTTGTTCAAAGGCCAGAACGTTGGTCACATTCATCAATAATGTGATTCTTAATCCATCTTCACTCACCAGAAGTACAGTCAGTGGAAATTCGGCCTTGACTGACCTCTGCTTTCTCACTCACACTTTATCTATCATATGTGGCCTATCTATTTTGCATTTCTGTGTGTCTGTATATCTTAACAGGAACTCTGGAAGGACATATGTCAGGCACAGGTAACCTGCTACCATCCAGACCACGTGTTTTCTCCTGTTGGTGGCCTCAGGATTGTAGGGAACTTACCTGCCTTGTTCATCCCTGTATCCACAGCATCTAGAATAGTTCCAGACATGGATTAAGCACCCATAAAACAGTTGTAAATAAACGAAGGACAAGAACAAGTGGGTGATAAGTTGCCCATCCTTATGTTTTATATAAATGCACTAATATTTTTCAAAAGTCTTGGTGCACTAGATTCAGGCGGGCTAAGTGTAACCATAAGTCTCATTTAAACAATCTTCCTATAGAACATGCACATATAGAACACATACTACACTAGCCTATGATTTATAAATCCTCATTAGTCATTTTTAATCAACAACTCTACAATATGTATCTCCTTCATCCCAAGCAAGGAGGATGATCACTGTGGAAAACACAGTGAAAAATGGAACCGATCTGCATTCAGTCTCTCTGAAAACAAAAAAAAAAAAAAAAAAAAAAAGAGTTATATGAGGCAGGTCTGGAATTATGAGGTAACTAGAAACTTTATAATATTAGAAATAACTGAAGTCTTGGAGTATTAAGCCTAGAGACTGGTGAACACGTAAGACTTGTCTTAAACATTTAAGGCACTATCATTTTGTGGTGCTGTTATTGGATATTTAGGTATGTTTCACCATGGGTAAAGTTAGGGCTCTGAAAGTAAGTATAAGGTAACTGAGAAGTAGATTATTTGATGGTTAAATATTTACAAAGATGTAAGAGGTAGCAAGTTCCTTGTCGCTGGCATGCTCAAGTATGGACTTGGTGGAGACTGTGGAGAAGCTCATATATCACACCAGGGTGGGATTTGAACTACTTGGCCTTCGGTATGCCCCCAAGACCTGGGAAATTATGATTTTGTGAGACAAAATCCCAGGCATTATTAAGCCATGAAACTAATTGTGGTACTGGATCTAAGAAGCAAATTTCAAGGAAGCCGAGAAGCTTTAGGGTAGCTCTGAGCTGAGTATTTGTGGAGGACTGGGGAGGATATTTAGGATTGGGAGAATGTTCTGAGGAAGTCTACAGAGGAGGGAGAAATCATCAAACACGCTCAGAGGTCAATTTGACTGAAATGAAGGTTCGTGTAGAATTGTATTAAAATTGGGCTCAGTGAGGTACAGTGTGATATAATCCGTGGGAAAAGAGAAAATTTTGCCAATTGAGAAATACCACACAAGTGTTAAGTATTATCCAATTTTCACAGAGAGACTTGAACTGCCAGGTGGAGTGTCAGGTAGTTTGGCAGGAGGTGATGCCCACGTCCAAGGTTGGCCAAAAGTATGAGTCCCGGAAGAAGCCGAGAGTAGGAAAACTAAGATTCCAGGAAGTAGGCA